CGGGCTCGGCCCTTGTGCCCCCCCCCGCCTGGGAACCGGAGGAGCCACCGGCCAGATGGAGGCACCGGGAATGCCCAACGGGGGACAACTGCCCCGGAATCCCGGTGTTCCGATGCCCGGTTCTGAAATGACAGCGACAAAGCACGGAACGTGTGGAAATGCCTCAGGGAGCCGACGCAGGGGACCGGAACGTGCCCCCTGCTCCCAGTTCTGGTCACACCCGCGGGTCACGCAGCTCAGCAGGGTCCCTCCCGTCCAACTGACAGAGTCACCACCCAAGGGACCCCCTGTCAGAGACACCACTGGTCTGATGCTCACAAAGGAAGCTCAGCTCCTGGACCCAGCAGATCCACATGGACCGTGTCTCAGAGATGCCAGGAAACCACCTCTGACCAGCCCCTGCTACCTCTGGCCTGGCCAAATAAATACCTGCAGCAGAACTGCCCTCGCCGGACCACCCGGAGCAGGCCCCCAGGAAGACCCTTCCTCTCCTCAGGGGTGGTTTGACCCTCCTGGAGGCTCAGCCTGAAGAGGAACTCCTGCAGCAGGCAAGCAGGCTGGGGAGCTGCTGTGTCTGGAAGAGGCTGCTGGGCAGACGGGCTGCCACAGTCATGGATGAGATGTCCTCAGCAGAGCACCTGACCTGCTCCTCACATCAGAAGAGAAGGAAAAGGGGCCAGGAGGGCTCTCTGCTGGAGCCTAGAGACTGCACAGGAGGAGTTCCCTGTTTGAAGGGGATAATATTTGCCTCAGCCACTTTCTGTGTCACATCAGGGGAAAAAAAAGCAGGAGCAATACCCAAGGCCTAGGCTGTGTCTCCAGTTCATGCTGCCACCACCTCAGCTCTCAGGTGTTCCTCCAGGGGTGAAGCCTCCCCAGCTCACACACCAACGTGCCCACGTGTCTCTGCATCCCGTGCCAGGCAGAGCCCTGTCCCTGTCACTGGGCAGGACAGCACAGCCCCACTCTGCCCAGTTCTCCACACCACCATGGCATGGAGGACCATGCTTGTAACAAAGACAACACTTCCCGGGAGCTCCCGGAGGCTTTTATTCACAGCAGCTGCTCGTCAGAGACTAGAGCTCCTTGGTTCCTGTCTCATGCTGGTCTGACTTCTCCAGTCTATGAAACAAGAGGCCGGTGTCCTCTCCGAGCTGCCTCCCTTCAAAGGGACAGGGCTTCCCATGGTAGCGTGGCAGGAACGTCAGACCCAAAAGCCCTCTCTCTTGGGGCTGCACAGCCAGCCTGGAGAGCAGCCTGTGGGCAGTGTGGGGGATGACAGGCTGCAGAAGGGTCCCACAGACACGCAGGGACTCCAGGGTGACGTGGATGATGGTGTCCAGCCAGAGCTGCTCCATGGGGTCCTGCCGGTCAAGTTTCCAAGGCCTGTGCCTCTGGAAGAAGCTGTTGGTCTGCCTCACGCAGAGAGAGATACACTCCAAAGCCTTGTAGATCTGGAAGTTTTCAAAACAAGTAGCCACCCGCAGAGGCAGAGAAGCCACGGATGCCAGGAACTCATAGTCCTCTGCAGAAGCCCTCCCTGCACCTTTTGTCTCCCTGCAGTCCGAGACCTTTGGAAAGCAAGCCTCGGAGAAGCGCGGGTAGGTGTTGCTGGGGTTGATGCTGGGGGCTGTGGACCGGTTCAGGAGCCCCCCGAGCGCATCTGCCAGCTCGGAGTTCAGGAGCTTCACCACCTTCTGGTGGTAGAAGTCGCAGTCGCGCTCGGGCACGCCCTGCCGCAGCAGGAAGTACCGGAACCCGTCCACTGAGAACCGCCCCATGCAGGGCCCAGGCTCCACCACGTTGCCCAGGCTCTTGGACATCTTCTGCCCGTGGACAGTCCAGTGGGAATGCACCAGGATCCGCTCGGGGGGAGGCAGCCCGGCCGCCATCAGCAGCGCCGGCCAGTAGACGGCGTGGAACCTGAGGATGTCCTTGCCCACCACGTGGTGGGCGCAGGGCCACCACTGCCCGTGGGCCTCAGGGTAGCCCACCGCGCTCAGGTAATTCACCAGGGCGTCCACCCACACGTACACGGTCTGCGTGGGGTCCCCAGGCACGGGGATGCCCCACGGCAGGCGGCTGCTCTCCCGGGAGACAGACAGGTCCGGCAGGTCCTCGTCCAGCCAGCGCAGCACGCGCTGGTAGAAGGGCTCCGGGGACACGGCCCGCGGGTTGTCCCGCAGCCAGGCCCGCAGCGGGTCCCGGAAGGCCGAGAGCCTGAACATGTAATTCTCCTCCTTAGTCCAGTGCACCTGGGAAGGAGGGAGAGAAAAGAATCATGGCCTGCGGTTGTCAGCAGCTCCTTCCATCTCTGGGTGTGTTCCCCAGGCCTGAGAAGCTCCTGGCATCTCTGTCAGTGGGTGGGATCCTCCCCTCCTCAGGGCCACCCGTAAGGACCTGGGATGGCTCCACACTCTGTCTGGAAAGGTGCTCATATCCCCAGGGAAGAAAAACATTTCCACCCGCCAGAAACAGGGAAACGTGAATACACCCTCTTAAAAACATAGCTTTGCAGCAGGAAATAAATAAAAGACAAGACGACCTCATTAATTGGTGCCTCAGACACACCCCAGTGCCTGCCTCTGCCTCGCTTCTAGGCACTATATTCCTCTGTTCCCCCAGTTTAAGCACTGGAGCATCTGAACTGCTAACTCTGTTTGTTAGAGCACTGCCAGCACTCCCCTGCACGCTCAGAGCCAGTAAATTACACATTTAGCTAAATCAATTAAATATTTGTGGGTAAATACAGTTTGTGCAAAGACTCCCGGGAGACTTACAGCCAGGTCAAGGTGTTCAGCTCTGAGGTGTGATCATCTGCAACTGCTGGATAGAATCACAGATTCCTGACCCCTTCCAGAAAAGGAGAGACCCCGGGGCAGGCTCCAGGCTCCAGGCTGTACCCGGGTTCAGCCACCAGGCCCCACCACAGGCAGGTGCTGTTACGGGTTTTATGTCGGGCCAAAACCCAGGTAACAGGATCGATGAGAAAGCATCCAGAGGCCAAATGAATCACCTCACAAAACCGGCCTGGAAGCCCAGACGCCCAGCTGACACCTCAGTTCAGAACACAGCTCAGCTCCTTCAGCGCCACTAAACCGCTGCCTCCAGCCCGTGCATCCCGGCAGCGGCCGAATCCTTGGACCCGGGACCCCCGCGTGCCCCGGGCTCTGGCTCTGAGCCCTGCCCGGCCACCCTGTGGGGACCCTCGGGTGTGACTCGCAGCCGGCTC